CACCTTTGCATGCAGTCACCCATAAAACTTTGTTGCATTAGATACTAACAGTCAATATTTTGCTTGAGATAACCTTTCTTCATGCATGTCAAGGAAACGTTCAGCCCAATAAAAAGGACATTTTTCAAATTCCCTGAACACCGGGATAGATCAAGAGGATTTAAGTACAAAAATAAAAAAGAAAAATAAATTCCCTTTCGAAAGACGAATCTGCTGTAGTTTTATTATAAAGCGTGTTTTGAGAGATATCATTATTTATCTGTAGTAGATGTACGTATATGAGTTCCGGAGCTTCAGTTGGGCGTAAACAAATTCCATAAATGAAGAAAAAGAATCATAAGTTTAAAATAAATTTCTTCGTCAGATGATATGATAATGAAGCAATAGAGGTCGGGCCTGAATCAGTCGTAAGCGCAATATTTGAATTTCGCCAAAGCTGTGTTTGTTAAACAAAACTAAACAAAATTTGGCTACAGACAAATCATTCGGCTCAATATCGTCAAGCATTTAATCCTAAAACGCCTTCGTTATCCGTTTTAGCTGAAGGTATGACACGATTAAAGTTCAAATATCAGATGAAATTCTCATCGTCTTTTTTTTATATGGAAGTCCATATCTTTCCTGAAAATATCTTTACATTACGTCTGTGTAGAGCGGAAACAGACTTATGCAAAAATCCCGAAACTGACGTAACAAGTCAACAGTGTTGTAAGAAATCGGACAGGAAGTTTACAGATTTTGCGTCAAGAAGTCTACGAAAGACATACCAGTAATACTTTAAACTGTATCACTCCATAGTTGAAAAACAATTAATTAGTGCAATACGCACATAAATCAGCTCACTTTGCTAAACTGAACCCCCGAGTCTCTGGTCGAAACATTTTTTTCTTTTCTGTTTAATGATAGGGAATAAGGTGATGCAATAAGCACAGAGACGATTTTTAAGATCTTTCGAAACTCGTCTGATGTAGATGAAATCTTTTCAGTTAAATGGCAGGAACTAAACCATTCACTTCGTAATAATCAATCTCAGTTTTAAGGGCTTTTCATAACAAGACGAGGCTAATGTGATAACGTTCCCTTTATCTCTGTTTTGAAGAGCTGCAAACAAACTGTTTTGTTACGTATCCCGGTTACCAATACAAATGAAAGCTCCTTAATCCACGAATGTAAAGAATACTAGGTTTATTTAATAAGCGACATGAAAAACTTGAAGTCAACTTTTAAGGAGATAGCTAGCCCCACTTTAACACTTGATTTGTTGTGAATTTGCTCAAATTATGTAACAGTTGAAAACTCCGTTTTCAAGTGATTAGTTTACACAAGAACAAAATCCAGGGAGCGACATTCTAGTTTCCACACACACGCTGAATAAGGGGGCATGTTTGCTTTACAAATTAAACAATGCTAATCTACTAACTTGTTGCTACCCTGAAGTAGTCTGTAGTTTATGTTCTGTATCCCAAAATATTATGCATTGATGGCTTGTTTTGAGTACACTTGTACAATATATTGTGACGGTATTCATTTCAAAGGGTAGACAAATCATTCCATCCAATCCAGGTCTCCCCTTTCGGTTACTTCGATGTAGGTCGAATTTTAAGCGGGCACACATGCTCTCTCGCATAAACGTTTTAACAACCCCTGCTGTTAACTTGACCATTTTTGTTTCTTTTATTCCTTGTTTTGATAAATTTTGAAATAACTACGCAGATTCCAAGAAAGTGAAGTGATCTTTCTTACAAGACGACAATTCACTGATTCTAGTATACTATCCGAATGGGCACCCCTATCGGAATTTAAAACACGGTAATGTAACAACTCACAACTCTCTCTGCCTTCGGACGTGCGGTTGTGTTTTCATGTTTCTAAGCACAGAAGTAGATTTCCTTTGTGAAACACAGCGTTTGTCAGTTTCCGCTAAGTGGAGAGATTTGTCAATTTTGAACCGTAATCTTGTAAGGTCAAATGTTAAAATTCCTACCTTTATATTTTCCAGCAGATGAAGGTTTTCTACCACCGATGGACGGACACAAAAAAGCCATTTTTACAGATCGCCTTTATGCTTATTTGATCCTTAACTTTCTCTGGAAGAATTCTTGATCTATAATGTTCTCTGTATAATCCTCTGTGACATGTGGTTTTCTAATCAAACTTCCACTACCGAGAGCGCCTTTTACGCGGGATTGATAAAATTATATTATTCTTTTGTCCTGAAAGAGAGGAGAAAAACGTACGACTTATATGTGATTACTTAGGATCAAAACGTGCTTCTGGCAGGTCGTTTGTAATCATAATAGGCGATAGCAAAGATAGTAAAAACAGTGCTAGTTTCTTCACAAAACACGCTGATCACGGTCATAAATACCACATAATCAAACAACGTGTAGGTGAGCTCTAAGCGAGCAAAAGAGGCTTAGAATCCAGGGAAAATATTGTTATAAACTTACTTATTTAGTGCACAGGACCAAGGTAATCTTGTCGTCGAGGTTAAATCGCGATGGTTCAGCTAAACATTCAACGATCCCGCTAAGTGGTAATCTAATTTGCATCAAACCTTCACGTGCTTTTGTACACCAGAAGTGTGAAACTACTTCAGCCTAGGTTCAGATTACATGCGAGGAGGAGCTGCCAATAGGTTCTTCGTTTCCGGTAAAAATGTCATAGCCATGAAAGACGGACATGAGATTGCTGGCTTTGACAGGTGGATAATCGGCTGGTGACCTAGAGAAGATATCCTAGACAATACCTGTCAGGTACACAATGGGCTGTGAGTTGATATGTAACTTTATTACCTGTCGCGTCATTTGATAAGCGACTTGATCACTTGTCAATGTACCGCTGAAAAACGCGTAATTCCTTTCTGCAGTTTCTTTAGATGTACCCGGGCGAAAGAGATGTAAAGACGTTCTAAGGTTTATTTTATTTCTTACAAAATTAAGAAGACGAAGAATGTAGATTGAAAATCTCGTAATTAGATGGGTATGAGCTTTTGTTACAGCTAATAAAAGAGAAAAGCTTGAAACAACTACTAGCCCACGTAGGAGGGTGGGCAGAAAAAACGCACAAAATGCAATAATTCTCCCCTTTGAAAACAACACCTTCGACGCAGGCTAGATAAATTCTGCTAAAATGTAAAATTTCTATGGGTTTCTTCATTGTTACTTAAAAATAAAATTGACAGTAAAACTGCAAAGGACCGCAAACGAATATGCCGCAAACGCAGGATCTATAAAACACCCAATACACTGAATTCTGCAAAGCTGATCGTACTACGTGAAAATTAATTTACAAGACATCAACACGACACCGAAAGAACCAAAAACAGAGCTCTGCTTTTGGTTCTTTCGGTGTCGTGTTGACGTAGTACGATCAGCTTTGCAGAATTCAGTGTGTGTACTCATCACTTAAAATACAAGAAGAGACCTACATGGAAGCATGCCGACGAAGGCAAGCGCTGGTCCTCCACCCTGCCAGTTCTCACGGAGTAAGGACTGGAAAGAGACTGTGGACCCCCGGGGGTGCGGGGTACTGCCATATGTGGGCCATATTGGTATGCGCCGCTGTGCAGGGTATGGTTTCAGAGCGTTTGGGTCTAGAATAGGGTATCATTTTTCAGGGAACTGATCAGTTGGTTGAAGATTTTATCTAGACTAGGGACTGTGGTATAAAGGTTTTGTTTTGGCTAGCCTGTGCTAGTATCCTCAGTAGTTAATCGGCTCCTGGTAGTTTCTAGAAAACAGCTACTCTAGGATAGGGGGTACTTGGGGAGTTTACTCTAGTATAAGGTAGCAAAATTCAGCTGAACTATAATCTTGGACAAAATAAAATGGAACAGCAAACCCCAATCCCCCCCCCAAATCAAGGATGAAGGCGCGCGAAGGGCAAAAACGCGCCATTTTCCCATCCTTGATTTGGGGGGGAGAGGGGGTCTAGGTTTTCCATTTAGTTTGTCCAAGATTGTAGCTCTGGTTGAGGGTTCCAGGGTCCAAGCGGCACATCCCCACCCAGAAATTCCTAAAGTACCCCCCGGGTGTGGACCATAAAAAAAAGAAAAGAATAAAGAAAATATCAACAAAATATATGAGGGGTAAATTCGAGACTTTGCGAGAAAATTCGAGACAGAGACATTAGAAATTTCGAGACTCAGCTCCGAGAAGTAAAATCATCCGAGACTTATCACAAACGCTTCCGAGTTTTCGAGATCGGGCCAAACTTTTCCGAGGGGGAGGAAGATAGGAGACGTTTCCTTTTCGATCCTATGGATTGGCTTTTACCGGGTATTAAACCGTTGCAGGTGATTTTTCTTTCAACCTGACTAGAAATTTTCCCCGGGTAGGGTTTCTCCGCCGTTTTGGTCTGAAAAGGGGTGTACACTTTGCCCAGTTTGGTCAGGAATTGGGTATGATTTTCGAGGGGAACTACGGGAGCGTATGAACGTCTTTACTGGAACCGGTATTTATCGTTTTAATTCCAAATGAGTAAGTAAGAAAGAGAAATATTCGAATTCGAAATGGATTTGAAGAATTATTTTGTTTGCGGTCTTATCTAAGTAATGATGACATAATTTCTTGCTAGAGGCTAGGTCTGAAATCGGGTATGGATTTTAGAGGTCTGGTCTGAAAACGGGTGTGGAAAATTACAACTCGGTGCAGCAAAGATAGGTTTTCTCCCGTTTTATTTTGGTATGCTAATCAGATTTATGTTTGCTCCATTTCATGTTGTGGGTCTCCAGGTTTGACTTAACGATCATTGTCTCAATTAAGAAAACAGTATTCATTTTGGAATTAAGAACTCTAATGGAGGGTAATAAGATTTTGAACTGAGAGACGCTAGCTAGAAATTTGCCACAGAGTCACTTCAAGTGAAAGGACTGGGACTTGGCCACCCTTATTCACCTGAAGACCGGAAAGTGTAACCATTAATTTGTAAAGGTCAGAGAAAAGTCAGCATTTTCTTCTCAGTTTCCTTAAGTAAGTAAGTGAGAACTTTATTACAGCGTCAAGGTCGCTAGCATACAATGTACACTAATTGGGGACACCTAACTACAATTTGTCTTATAAATTATCAATAAAATACGACATGTATGTCCACACTTAAAATAAGTTATTAGTCGTTACAGTCTCAGACCCTCAAAGTATTGGTTTAGCCGACAATTATACCCAGGCCTACATGGACAGAACCACTCTAAAGTCGTTTCCTTGTTGCTCTGATATCAGCATGGCACTGGAGGCTACATACCATGTGAGCAAGCTCTTCACCTGGCTTCAGTTTTTCAAACAATGAATAGAGCTATGCCCCGGATAAATCACTATCCAGCGGATAAGTATTAGGGAAACCAATAATGTTATTATTGCACTATCCCCTGGCCTAAAGACTTATCCACTGCATGCATTGTTGTCCATCTTTTGAATAACTATGGGGCCTAGGGTATATCATGAGAAGTCATGTGAGTTCTCATATGCCGCACTTTGCTTGCTCGCTTGGAGAACTTGCTCACAGAATAGAGGTTGGATGTAAAATTAAATAAAAGATGAAAGTTTCTAAGACACTATAGACTGTCAGCAGTGCCTTTTCTGTTGGGGAGACTGTAATTTTATTGTTTTCTGGCAATCACAAAGGACTGATAGCAGTTTGGGGATGCTGAAGAAAATGAAAACTACAATAAGTACCAACAACACAATGCTTTTTATCAGTTCACTATAAAACAAGTGGGTTGAATAATAACCAAATCAAGTAGAATCATAAAATTGAACCCTTCATTAAGAGCTTCACAAGTGTACTACATGAAATTAAGTGTCAGACAATGGACAATGTTTCTTTTGGTTCTGTCACAAATAAACACTATTGAAACAGCAGGAGCTGAACTAACTTTTGTTAGTAGGAGGTGCACCCAACGAGAAAATAGTTCAAAACCACTTAAACATAGCATTGTTAAACATATTTTGTATTTGTTCTATACCATTTTATCTGTTCGGATCTTCTAGCTGAAATCAATCCTGAAAATTTCATGCTCTTTTGAAAATGTCATCTGGCATCCGAAAAAAACCACTTTTTAGGTAAAAATGGGGAATTAAAATTTGTTCAAAAATCCTACAAGAGGCACGCAAGCAAGAAATTTTACTTCAAATCTTCCGAAAACTCTACATTTCAAATCGCCTTCCGAACAGATATTTTCCGAAAATTGACATTGGGTGTTAGTAACTAATGCTAATGATGATGATAAAAAAAACATACCGAAAATGAACGTTCTTTGCAAAAACTGCTGTTCAAATCGTGATCAACTAAAAATCAATTACAAGGGTCTAGTAAGTCAAAGGTCTCAGGACAAATGCAGATTAAAAGTACTTTCCATGAAAATTATCAATGAACTTGAGAATTAGAGATAATGTTCAAAAACTCATTAATAACTCATAAAGAAAAAACAAAAGAAATTAATCTTCAATGAGTATCTTTACGTGTGATAAAGACACAGCTAAACTTTATGCCCAGTTTTTTAGACCAAAAAACCCCCAGTTCTAATTATTAGAGCAACAATGAATTGATCTGTATCAGATATTTTGAAGTCGTTCAGAAAACTTGTGTATTATCAGGTTTAAATTTGACGTTTTTAAACCTGATAGTATACTCCGGCTTTTGAAAAATAGTTGTATATACATGTATCGTGTGTGTAATTGATGTTTATGTGAAATGTGTTGTACTATTCTTTTCTATTTTTTATCTTATTTCATTTTATTTATTATTTCTGTTTTGGAGATACTAGCAGAAATGCTACTCTAATCCAAATTGAAATAAAGATATGATTGATTGGCTTGATAAATTTAAACAATACATAACAGTAACAAAATGGCAATAATTAATTTGAAGCCTTTCTAAAAAGAAGATCTACATCTTCAAAAACAGTTTAGAAAACAAGTTACGACATTACGTTACCTTTAGAAGCATTATTTTATATCACAAAGACTCCTTGGGCCTAGCAAATGACTGCAAGGATGGATATGCATATATCTACTTTATTTACTCTTTTGATTACTGTAAAATTAATGATCGATTAAGCACCGTGGTGCTTATTTCATTATCCCTGTTATAGGTGCGGTGCTTATTTCAACTACGGGTAAAACATTGAGGGGAATATAGAGAAAATTAACTGAGGCGCATACTAGGTATGGACAATTTACTATAAAATATGTACACCTCAAATTATTATATGAACCCAGTTTCAAGAGTTTCCCGACATTAAAACTTTAGAACTCACAAGTGGGTCGAGGTCTTATTTCTCAAGTGGTCTTGATATAAAGTGCTGTATCAAAAGTGGGGTGTTAATTTGTAAATACCCAAATTAGCACCACAGAGCTAATTCGAGAGCGCCACTTATTAAATTATTTTCGCTTAAGGTGCGGTGCTTATTCTAGAGCGGCAGTTATTCAAGTAGTGGCGCTTAATCGATCATTTATGGTACTTTACCAATTTATTAATTTGCAATTAAATTCTTTTTAGTACAAATAAAATATACTTAGCAGATAATTGCAAAATTAATTTATTGTTACAGGCTGAGTGCTAAAGTAATTTGAAAGAACTAATTTGAATGAAACATGAGTAAACAATCCCAACTAAAGTCAACTCCCTTTATTGCAGACAATGTAGGGACCTCGAGGTAGTGTCCTCATTAGCGAGAGTCTGTAATAGCGGGAGTTTATTTCAGTCAAACATCTGTAATTTGTTTTCGCCGGAGATTTAGCTGCTGTCCGTTTGATCCAGGTGTCTGTTATAGTGGGGTGTCTGCAAGGCGAGAGTTGACTGTAGCTGGACACAAACCAAGATATGACTTGATGAAAAATTGGTAAATATAAAATTCTTAAATTTTTTGCAAACACCAAACTCTATTCTTTGTGTTAGTGTGAACAGGGCCTTTGGCTCCAATTATTTTGTCAAAATTCTTTGGTATAAACAAGTCTTGCAGCTTTTGTTACAGATTATTAAAATCATGAGCTTAGAACTTGGGTAAATTGAAGGAATGATGTTGACATGTTGCGCTTGACGTCTTTTCCCTCTCCCTTTCAATGTTGGCCTCGAATTGGACAATTCCACAAAAAAAAACATTACAAAACAACTTTGGAAGAGTGAAAAGTAGGTACCAGGAGCAGTGTGACCCAAGATTGCAGCTTCAATTCTGCTTTGTACTGGCAAGTCATATACATCTTGACAAGTTTGATGTTTATTTAAAAAGGATACTTCTTTTTGTTCTTTTCTTGTACATGATTCTGTATCCACATTCACGACAACGAATAGGATCTCGAGATTTGATCTCGTTTTCTGTATGGCATTCTAAAAGAAAGCAAAAACACGGAAACGATACGAAGTCGATCAACAAACATATCGCTTTTCACAACACAAGTCACTACACCCATCATGGGTTTGGAACTCAATTTAATGCGTGGCAAGGATTTTTATTCAGTAATCTGCAATGTGGTTTATCTAAATAACATGCACTATATCAAAAAATATGCATGACCATGCATTATACTTGCACGTGTTGTCCAGCTCGCTGAGCCGTCAAATAGTTGAAAGATCGTCTACTTTCGCTGAAAAGGTGACTTTTCAACTTCGATTTCCTCTTACCTCCGCAGATATATATCATTGCTTGTTTGGTGGCCCCTTGGCTCTGTGTCTGCTGATTTCCTTCCATATAAATAGCTGCGTTTTCGACAAGATAACTATTTTTGTCAATTTTTTTTGGTCCAAAGAAAATCAAACATAACTTTGCGCATGGCAATTCAAACGCCAACATTCTTCCGCTGGTCAAACCGCTTGAAGCTCATTTAACTTATCGGCTCCAGTCTCCCTATCGTACGTTGTCTTTCCATCACGGGCGCAGGTTCCTGAGTGCATTCATGTCTCAGATTAATATTTGTCCCTACTTTCCTCGTGAAGATGTTTTCCCTGTGTCTTACTACTTGACCTTTCTCTTGCCTCCATGATTTTAAGGAGAAGCGCATCTAGGGAAGGGGAGGCTGGTCTGTACAAAGCAGGTGACAAAAGGCACTTTAAAAAAGGCACTTTATTTGAGTGTCAACGGTATTTAGCACGAAAGTGCTAACTGGGGACACCATTTTTACGTCTCCTAATGGAGACAGGACCGCCATTTTACGTGGTCATCCGAGCCGCACGAAGGTCAAGCCGCTTGCAGTGCAAAGGGAATACCTTCATGTCTCAGTTATTTTAAGACCCTGAGTAATAGTCCGGCATTGAGAAACGAACTGCCCACAAGTGCTCAACTGACTGCAGTCAATCAGCACACTGCTCTATTATGCGTATTATACGAAAGCCGAGGAGGGTCTTCCGACTTCTGACTCCTGACTTCCGACTTCAGACTTAAGACTTCATACTTGACAAAGTGCGAACTCCGGATTTCTGATTTCTGACCGTTCAGACTCAAAGCTGAATGGCTAGCTAGACCTTCGGACCTCCCACTTCCCACTCCCCACTTCCCACTTCCAAATTCCGATTTCCGACTTCTGATTTCCCACTTCCCACTTCCCACTCCCCACTTCTTACTTCTGACTTCCGACTTCCGATTTCCCACACAGGAAAAAATAACGGATTCCCATTTTTGGATATTTTAGGGTATTTAAAGAATACCCATAAAAATGCCAAATTTGGCAAAGTGAGACAAGTCCCAATCAGGGAATTCCCCACCAAGTTCCCTGGTTGGGACTTGTCTCACTCTTCCAAATTTGGGATTTTTGTGGGTATTCTTTAAATACCCTAAAATATCCAAAAATGGGAATCCGTTATTTTTCCCTGTGCCACTTCTGATTTCCAACTTCCTACTTCTGACTTCCAACTTCCGAGTTCTAACTTCCGACTTCTGACTTGACTCTTCTATTAGACTCGATTGCTGCTCGATTCACCACTCGGGTATTAATGCTTAAAATGAAAGCTCAGTGGAAAGGACGGCTGTACCGTTCTCGCCACAAAAGAGGACAACTAAACTTGCTCTTGAAAAGCAACTAAGCACAAAGCCACCCCGGCAACCGATGAGGTTCGCTTGGAGAACCGAAACCATGGTCTTGCCTGATCACAAAGTGGCAATAACAAAGCAGTCCAAACACTGTTAATGTTATTCTAACCTGCATAACAGGCGCCTTATGAGCCAAGCGAGGCGAACGCGGCATTTTGCGCGAAGCGCGAAAAAAAACTATTACCAAGGAAGGAAATACCCGCTCCAGTCAAAAGAGTAGAAAAACACTGAGCTGGAATATACTGAGTCACAATGAAATTCTCCATAGTTGATGCAGCTTCATTTTAAGCTGCACTTCACTCTTATGGCTTTGGATCTGTAAATCACTATCCGTGATAATTTAACATCCTGCAAAGAAAACTAACGAGATGGGCCCAGCGTGATAAAACATTGCAGAGGAGAGAAATTACTCAGCCGTAATAAAAAGCCTTACGCTTTAAACAATGCCAAAGAAAATGCTTTTTCACCAGGGGGCAAATCCTGCCGACCAGAAACAAAAACCACTGTAAATCGACATGTGTGCCATGACCTCTCAGTGTGAAACAGGCGTCTAAAATCACATTTACTTAGTAATGTAGAACCTTCTATAGCATAATCTACCCAGCAGAAGCAAAAAATGTTATTGAAACAAGCAGCATTTTGGCATAAAAAGTCGTGTAGGCCTACCACCGCCTTTTATTGCTACGGAAGTCGGAAGTCGGGAAGTCAGAAGTTGGAAGTTCGAAGTCGGAAGTCGGAAGTCGGAAGTCAGAAGTCCGAAGACCCTCCTCGGCTTTCGTATAATTATGTATTGGGACGCGGCTAACCCAAAGGAGGACATTACCATCTTCCCGTCATGCATTGTTGTCAAACTATATTATCAACGGCCGAATCCCAGTGTCGCTGCGGAGGAAACACAGGGGCACAAGAGATCATTGCGATCCGAATAGTCGGTTATCAAAATCCAAATCGATCCGTTTTCTGCGATGTTCCATGTGTGATGCTACTTCGTAGAAAGGGATGGTCAAGTCAAAGGAAATGGAAATGAATTGACTAGAAACGTGGCTCCAAAACCATCCCAGTGTTCGGGTGTTTTTCTCTCTTAGACCACAAAGTAGGCTATGGACTTTTCCCTTAAAAAAGTAGTTTGAATTAGGTGATGATCAGTTCCTGTTAACTATGTTACAGGCATGAGATTGTTTCTAGGACCATTCGGTGCAGATCGAAAGATTCCTTCTAGGAGTCCCAGATGTCGCACCCCGGGGGTGGGGGGACTCTGCATATGAAAGGGGTGGGGATGCTCGTCGGAAATTTTGAATTAAACCCCTAAAGGAGACCGATCTGGGCGTGGTCCAAACTTTTTTTGACCCCTAAAAGAGACCATGTTAAAACACAGACAAATGAGAAAACTTGGATTATATAAAACAATTTCGGACCATACGAAACAACACTGTCGCAATAAACGATCAATGATTACTCCTGAAGCCTGAACTCCTGTGATTATTAAATATCAGGAGCCGATTACCTGGCTCGGCTCCTGGCTCCTGTAAATATATATTTCTATATCTTTTCGCGTACAACCCTAAACGAGACCTTCACGGCTAAGTATGATGGCGTTTTGCCAGAACACCCTAAGTGAGACCAAAATCCGAAATTTACACCCCTAAGCGAGTCGACGAACATCCCCACCCCTTTCATATGCGAAGTCCCTCCCCCCCCCCCCCCCGGTGTCGCACTTTTTTGCCTGGACTTGGCTATGGACCGCTCCTAATCAGCAATGAAAGCATGTCCTCTCCTGGGAGACGCTAACGCCATGTCCGCGTTACCAAAAAACATGAAAATGAAGGGAAAAACTGGCAAATTGGTGGCGAATTTTCTTTATTTGGATAAATAAATTAGCATTTCTGATAGAAGATAAACATACGTAACTTTATACGTCCCTAAGAATGTCAACGGAGGAGGCTAAAAAAGTACTGGCTCCGAATGAAACTCTTCAAAGATGACCTCGTAACTCTTATGCATGTGCACACACGTACATATGTATGGATACTTTTAAAATGAAAAGACAAAAGGCAAATTCCCAGGAGAACATCAAGGGGTCTGAATATACAAGCTGAAAATCTAAAAAGGTCTATTGCTAGTGGGTTAAGAGAAGAAATTAAGCAATAACATTTTTCTTACTCTATTAAATATTTCTAACACTTCACGTTTTGAATGACCGTCTATTTCACTTCAACTGAAAAAATTTGAGGGAAAAATCATTTTAAATGCCCGAATTTAATCTTGAATTATTCAAAACTTAGTATTGGATTTACCCAGACTTCACCGCGGCTTCATTTTTCGTTTTTCATCTTCCGCGCGCTAAAGCCATGTGATCAAGATTCTCCAATCAGCGTATGTAATGGCAACCAGTCTACCTCATACTCAGCACGTTCCCAGCACGAATGACCCTGATGACCATGAATGGCACGCAAAGGAGGGAGATTCAACTCCCGATTCATTCGTTTATTGGAAAGGAAAACACACCTTTCTTGAAAGAAAAGCCATTAAGAATACCTGACCATTTTTGCGGTTGATTGAAGTTGAAGGTTGAGTTTGAAGTTGAATTCATTAAAAGCCAGGAGGTTCTCGAAGAACAGAGCTGACCACTGTCTTTTGTTACAATTAACAATAAAATCGGATAGCGTGAACACGAGGTTCTGGCGTGAAAACACGATGTAAGTTTTAATAGACTTGGTACTGACCACTGCCTTTTGTTACACTATAACTGTAAGCTAAAATGGGTTTGCTCTCTGGGTTTTATTTTTTATTTCTACTCAAGCTTGTATAAACGATTCCCAAGTTCTTTCACATTCCGCCATATTAGATTTGTAACCGCGCCTGCGCAATATATACCCGCTTGAGTACAAGAAACTAAGCTGAACTTTAAGAAAATTTGTGCAAACAAAGCTAAAATGAAAATTAGACAAGACTGAAAGCATTGAGCAATGCAAGGCAATAAGCTGCCATGCGTGTAGATTATATTTCACAATGTAATGCACTGGTCAATTTCTTGGTTTTCACCTGATGTCACCGAAATTCAAACTAAGAAACTATAGCTTCTTCTGAGTTTCTACTTTCATGTGGTATTACAGCACCTTAATACAAACAAATTTTCGGTTCAAAAGGGTTCTTTGTTTTGCGATACAGGACACTTGAATTTCCGGGCTTTTGTGTGACGCGGTATTTAGCTGACGGCCAGGAAAGTTCTTATGTGGGTTAAAAACATTACCGATTTTGGAGATTTTGCTATCTAAACATTCCTTGTTTCACAATAAAATTAATATTACTTTAATCTTTATGAGTTCCTCAAGCGAAGAATTCACACAGTAGTAGGAAAACTCAAAAACAGATGTTTCTGTTGGTTTCCAGTGGCCATACTTGTGCCCCTGAAAGGGACACAAACATGACATCTCCATGCAAAGCTTCATAATTCTGGGTAAAACGTTTTTCTGAAGATCTCGCATTTGAAATATTGAACAGAACACTGTAACTGTTTATTTTAGTTTCATTTCATTAACATTTCATTTATTTTCTTTTTCGTTGTTCAATACAATATTCTTCTCAGGTCATTAATAGCTACAACTGTACATGTACATGAACATCCTAGAAAAAAGGGAAATAAGAAAGTAGGTTTTTTTGTGTTCTTTTCTTCAGGATTTTGCAGAAAAATTTAATGGTATTTAAACCACTGATGAAATTAAATAAAAGGCAATTTTGAGTAGCAGCCAGCATTTTGTCTCTATGGGCTAACTATCTGGTATTGTTTGCAGGGAAAAAATTTCATCACTGGAAGTATCGCTGAGGAAAACAGAAATTTGGAGAAAAGAGATGTTGGTATAACCCAGATCTTGAGTGTGAATTCGTCCAAGTTGTCAGACAGTGATCACAACACGTCAGGTCTGAATTTTTAATTTGTTGGAATGAACCAGCCTTATTTGTTTTGTCTGTGTGTTTTATGCAATTTAAAGAATGAGTTTATTTATTGACTTGATTTTATCTTCTTATTCCTGGGGCTGTTTGAAGGACTCGGTCACTGGACGCTAGGTTTAAGTTCTTGTAAAACATGTCAAAAAAATTGCGTACTGTGCCAAACTCATTACGTACTAAAAACTGTTAGATGGAGGGAAAAGTTTCCCCTGTCTCAAACAATCAGAGCAGTGCATTTGTGGAGCCTTAAGAGGTGAGTAAACTTTACTCAAGCGAGTAAAGGTTACTCAATTATACGTTGCCAGATTTTTCTGAAATTGGGCTCATTTACAGAGATTGATGCCAAAATATTTACAAGCTCTAGTCCTAGTTTCCCTCTGTAGGTTTATGTCGAACTTTTTAGCCGAAAAAAGTCAAAATACCTTTTTTTAAAGCAGTTGCGCATGCTTTTTTCATGTTGAAGTAAGGAAACACTGGCATAGTTTGTTAAACGATGACAAGTACATGTAGAAGTTACAATTTTAATGGCGCTTTGCCGTTAAACATCATGTCCACTTTCCTAACTTACTCACGTTATACTATCATTTATAGACCAACAAATATATAACAGCTCAATGCATTTTTACAAAACTGCCATTTGACAGAATCTGTCACTATAAAAATGGTGCTTTCCTCTAAACAAGTTAGCTACTGTAAATAACGCTAAAAATACATTCATCGCCTCACGGTTTTTTGTATTTTATTAACTTCTGTTAAAATGAACATGTAGGTGAAATATAATAAAGACCAAAGATTATGTCTTACGAAATAATTTTAATCCGTGAGTTATGACCTTTCAGATAAAGGGTTAAATGATTAAAATTGGCTCAACTCAGCCAGGCTTCTCAGGCCCAGTCTCCAGATACTCTTGAGTTAAGCCACCCATAACTTCATTGAGGTACTTGTCGAGCGCAACGTGCAGGTGTTTGGTTGTTATATTGCAAAGTTGCTTGTATTTGGTAAGGTGAATGGCTTTGCCACTATGCCTGGCCTTCTTACATGCTCTATCACATTTGTTCATTAGACGTTTCACAGAAGTGCTGATCCAGGGGAGGTGAAGCTTCTCGTTAGAGACACTTAAAATTTGTTAGCAAAGTTATCGAGAGGGGGCTTTTCAAGTGGTTCAAAACTAAAATGTTTGAACTGCGGTAGGGGCCAGCAGTTAAATTGAGTTGAATAAATTATCAGTTAATGTTAAAAGCAAGTGATAAATAACAACACTATGTCTGAAAAGTGGCATAAAACCGATAAATTTGCGAATTACCAAAATAAAATAGTGAGAAACAATCCTGTCTTTGACCGCCGTGTTTTTGTTCCTTCTCAAAACCATTGATCATTGGGTTTTTACATAATTCCCATGATTAGTACACAATTCTGCTGTCAAGACCTTTTATGATCATTTTGCAAGTTGTGAGAACATTGTTTGGATTTCATTTAAGAGACTGCATGGGAATCTCGAAGTATGCCCCCCCCCTCCCCCCCCCCTCCTGTATTATTGAACTATTTTCTCTTTTTCACAATGGGCTGATAACTAAAAAATGTAAATTTAAATTACTCTAAGTGGTTAGATCTAAAGGCCCTGGTGTGAAGAATGCTGCAGGGTGTCCAGTTCCTATTTTTTCCTATTTTTCCTATTTTTTGAGCCTGTTCCTATTTTCTCCTATTTTTATACTAAAACCTCCTATTTGTCCTATTTTTTACCTGGTGAAGCCAAAATTTGTAACGAAATTGAAAATGGAATTATAGTTGTATGAGTTTTTGAGTCAGATTTATCATAAAGCAAGTAGTATGTTGACTTTAATGTTCTAATTTAGCAAATTAACCCTATTCAGACTGGGCTTTTTTGGTCAATCTGTGACTGGGGGGGGCTCCTCGGCCCCCCCCTCTGTATCTCTGGAACCAATAATGCTAGGGTCATGAAATTTACACACAATGATCATCTCCGTACAAAGACGCCCCACACCCAGTTTTGACTTGCCACGCCCAATGATGACGTCACAGTGACGTTATATTCCGATTTTTCAATGTTTCTTATCATTTTTCCACTTAGATACGTAAAATATCAATAATATTGTTAAAGTCATCTCTTTGTTATCCTTTCTTATGAACTAGTAACAAGGAAACACTTGTACAGCGAGAAAATGCAATAGGAAGCAATAAAATTTAAAATTTGAAATGGTTGTCCGCCATCTTGGATCCGCCATCTTGGATCCGCCATCTTGGATTTCCGTTTTTTTGTTAAAATTATAATTTAAAGCAACTTTCAAACGGGAAAAAGCTCAGAATGTGTAAAAGAAGTATCAAACTAATGTTTATTACCCAAACAAATGACTTTGGAAGTGTTATGTGGAAAATAGAGCAGCATATTTGTCAAAGCAAAAAAGTGACAAATTTTACCCCACCCTTCCCCCCCAAATATTCGATGTTGAAACATTTTGATGTAATTCAAAAACTAGTCCCAAGCAAAGACCATTTTAACAACAAAAAGCACTATAAGTGTAAAAACGCGATCTTAAAACAAAAAAATCACCATTTTTTAAATTTTCCAAAACCTATGTGTCAGAAACTGGTTGCAACATGATTAATCACATGGACATGGTAATTACACCAAAATGTTCCTAGATAAATTTTAGGAAAAGTCAGAAAATTTGAACATCATAGCTCTTTCTGTAGGAGTTATCACGATTTTGCCGGAGGGGGGGTTCGAAAAGCCCCCCCCCAGTCTGAATAGGGTTAAATAATAGTTGCATTTGTTCTTCCATGGCCTCTATATATTGCCTATTAGAGTTCTGTTAACAACTTTGTTATACAGTAATAGCCCGCGTATAAGAACCTGGGTTTTAAGAACCTGTTAGGCTAAAATTTTCATTTTAAGCCCCCTCCACATAAGAACCTATTTAGGCTAAAATTTTAAGTTAGGTTCTTATCAGTGGGGTTGCTGTAAAAGTGTATAGGTAGAAACTTTCTTTGTTATGTTTTGTTAAGGACATATGCTGTACCTGCATTGAACTGCCTATAGGCATTGCTCTATGGTACAAATAAATGATTTATACTGTATTATGAGATGATTTTTATAATATATATAGTATATTCAGATGAAATTCATATGAAAATATAAGAACCTATTTTAAGAACCTCGGTAGCCTAACCTTGCTTTAAGTACCATTTATATAAGAACCTATTTAGGCTAAATTGAAAAATTCAGGTTCTTATACGCGGGCTATTACTGTATTGTTACTTTTGTATAATTTTCTAGTGCACCTACATGTACATGTATTGTATGTTGTGTTTATAGTTCTCATGACTATTGAATAGGTAATATTGCGCATAGCCCACTGAAACTGCATTTCAGTATGTACATGTTCTTACTCCCTTTTCTGTTCATCTTAGAAACTGAAAACAGGGTCAAGTTGTCCTCTTACAACACAGGGCAGTTAAATCATCCAATCAGCTTCTAGTTTAAAAAACCAATCACTAGCTGATTCTGGATGCTACATGAAAAGAACAGACTAAAGTTTAGTTTACAGCACTAGCTCCCTGGGTGAGCCCTTGTTAACAGCTATACCTAAGTAAATGATAAAGGATCCAGTATTTTGGTTGCAAAAGCGGTCTTGCAGTCATAGCTAAGCAGAGTGTTATGTTCTTCTTAGAACTTAACCATGACACACTTACAATCTGGTACCAAATAGATCAGTGTCATTTTGCATACACTGCGGAAAGCCTGGTTCCATACTTAAAATTATATGGTCTTTTGACTCGAGCATTTTCACAACCAGCTACCGATTTCAGATTGATGGAAGGAAAGCTTTCCATAGGACTTTTAAGTTTCAGTTTCATATCCTTCAATGACAACACAATAGTAAGGAATTCCTCTCCTAAGATATTTCACTCTTCAAAGCTTTTCAAAGATTTGCCACCAACTTGAAGGGATTTGCACATGATCACCTTTGATTATAGAACCATGCTTGACCTGTAGTCAAGCATATCATCAGTTCTGATTACACTTACTGAGCCAATAAACTAAACTTTACCAATCATTTTCACTCCTTCTCACCAGTGAAAGTTGATATAAATCCTGTGAATCTAGAAGCTGAGGACTTGTAGCCTTTGTTATAACCCTGATGGGGTGCAAGGAATCTGTCTTTGTTGACAAAAGTACTATTTTTCTCCTATTTTTTAACACAAAGTTTCCTATTTTTCCTATTTTCTCAATCGTGAGTTTCCTATTTTTATGAGCAACCATGCTGCTGGACACCCTGATACTGTCACGTATCCTTGTTGCAAAAAAACATAATTATTTTGCGACAATCAAACAGGAGTGAAGAACTTCCCAGTTATTTGACTCTTTTCGCCAACCATGTAAAATAGTGGGTGCTTTCAGATAAAGTCAGTTTTTGATTGCCACCAGTCAGAAATCAAACAAGTCGAAAAAGAAGAGGATACAGTACAAGTAATAACATGTTAACATGTGTACAAGAGATTGATTTTCAAGGTTAGAGAAAGGATAAACTTCATTATCAGTTATGTATGCAGTCGACTTGTGGCAAGTCTAGTATGGCTCTTAAGAAGCCATAGTTATTGGTGGAAGGAAATTCAAAATTATATTTCTCTTTCATTTCTGATACTGTGATAGCACAAGAAATCTAAGGTTATCATCTAACAGGTCTTGGATGCAACATTCTTTAGAACTGTAGGTTTCTTGTAAGAGTATGAAATGGAATTTTTGATTATTTAACCAGCGAAAGATTGATCAACGGATTCAATTCTCTTACGAAACATCAAAACTAAGTTTTAAAGGCATTTACGGGACAAAGAAAAGAGTCAGAAAACTGCGTTGACAACAGATTTTGACAGTTGTCTGGCAGGATGGTGAATGTGAATGCAGTGTATTAGAAATTAATGTGTTTGAGCTTAATCAGTAGAAATAAAATAAATTATCAATGGACTTAGACAAACATTACTAAAGAAACATAAACAGAAAAATAAAAAAATAAATTAAAGCTGTAAAGGACTTTGAATGTACCACTTGAAAGTGGATTAGCATATTTGAGTGGATAGCATCATGGAATGTACATGTACAAAGCATCTGCAATAACCCTCGACTTTGACTCACAATATACAGGGTGTCCCAAAAGTTCGTTCCTCTACTATAAGTCTGTATTTCAGTGTGATTGGACTTGGTAAGCAAATCATTTAAACAAAAGTTGTGTCTTTCAATCTGGTTCACTATTTTCGTACTTATTGTGCCATCTTTTGACTCGAATATTGCATTTGTGTACTTCCGCGCCAAAGGTGCGCATGCTCAAGTATATTTTCCAGCCCTTTTTTTTTGTATTTTATGGCCCGAATTGCTCAAACTCCTTCCTTGTTTTTTGTGAATATCAAGAAAGATAAACCCACTTAACACAAAAACGTTCAGCTACGTGAGAGCATAAGCATGTATACTTCAATTTACTGGCTTATCTGTTATAGAAACTGCTAAAAAACTGGAAAAATCCAAATGTTGGGTGGTAAAAATAATGATGTTGGGGAAATAAAGGTTTTGAAGACAAGAAACAAAGAAGAAGACCAAAAGTCCTGAATAAAGCAGGTAAAATAGTTTTAAAGAAAGCTAGATACAAAAAAAGGAGACTCCACGAGGAAACTCTCACATAGTTTAATAGCAAGCCAAGTCCCGAAAGGTTTATGAAAAGCTGTTTAAAATGTTTAAAAAATTAGAGGCCCGTGAGATGGCCAGAAAAAAAAACTCTGCTTAGTCTGCCAAGTAACGCCCAGCTCGTCTCAAATTTGTAAAGTACAAAAGCCTTGCTATGGAAGGGATGATTATCTTTTTTGGATGAATGCCCAATATATATATTTTTTTCAGCTGCCTAAACCAAACAAATATTGTTTGGGGGCTGAACTGGCTCGTAAGCACTAGGTGATAAAAAAGCTCAAAATGGGTCATCTGTGGGTCTAAACACTGTATTCCACTTCATGCCGCAACGGCTACAGAATGTGATAAAAAAACCAAGGGTATGCCAGTTACTGAAATTCTGAATACATGTTCTCGATAGCGAAATAAACATCTTCTAGAAATTTCAAGTAATATGTCAAAAACAAGTGCGAATTGTTTCATCAGGGGTTCCTGACACCCAGAAACAGATGAAAGCATGAGGCCGCAGGCCGAGTGCTTTTATTGTTTTGAGGTGTCTTGAACCCCTGATGAAACACGAAGCACGAGTTTTTGACATGACTTCTCAAACTAGTGTGAGAATTAGTGGAATTATTTCCGAAAAATAGGTAATCAGAAGACGTGCTCAATAGGCTATTGTTTGTTTCTTATTCGTGGTAAATGAAATGAATATTTAATATGCGGCCATGCTGGCGGGTTTTTTAGTAGATTAACATTACGGCGCCTGATGGAGGTCAAGTCCAGATCAGAGTTTGAGTTTGAGAAGTAAAAATAAAGTTTTGATCAAAAGTTATAGTGCATGAAATTAGAGGAACAAACTTTTGGGACACCCTGTATAATAGACAAGGAATGATAAAATAAATTTCTCAATAGCGTCATAAAGAAGGGGAACTAAACTAGATTTGGCACATAAAAGGTGTAAATTTGTAAAATAGAAAATTCCATATTTTAGGGGCAAAAGCCTCGTATCTGGAAACATTAAAATAGAGCTTGATTTTAAAGGCAAGAAAAAAAAGAGTAAAAATAAAACCGTTTTCCTAATCTCTAGGTTGTTATTATGCATGCGCCACATTTATGTACCCAGCATTTGTTTGACCTTTCACTAAGAACATTAAAATATATGATTGAATGATCAAGTGCGTTTTGACCTTCTACCCCTCGTAATCTGATCACGCCTGTTTTGACCATCTGTCATGAGAAACCTACGGAAAGCACTCACTGCGTTTGAGCAAAAGCGTTTGACCTTAGATCGTTGTCGCCCGCACTCTGTAACCTTTGGTTATTACTAGTTTTAAAGTTGTGTGAAAGGATTGGACTTTCTGGACATTGAGCGCCACTTATTCGCTTTTACTAAGCAGTTCTTAGCTTGATGTTGGACTATAACATCAGAGGATTGTCGATGACTTGATAGTGGTTCTCGATGTTCAGTTGTACTATTGCCAGTGGGTATTTACCAAAGTGTTGACAGCAGGGAGCGATTTCTTCGGGATGTCATAATCAAAAGAAATTTTCCCATTAACAACTGACTTATCTCCTACAAAGGCAGCTTTGTGGCTTGGTGTTTCCTGTTTTATCTTCTTCATTGCAGGGATAAGGATGATTTCCTAATTTCTTGTATGTGCTTCAGTAGGTCTTCACCCTTTGAAATTCGCAAGTTTTTCAGCCAATAGTTTCAGTGGCAAATGTTGTATTTCAGTCAATTTTTCACATGTTTCTTTGGAGATTTACGCAGCCATCTTGGGCTGCTTCGGTGGAATCCGTGTTGGTGCCAGAGCTGCTTATCCTCGGTTGCTTTTTATGTAAATCTTTGTTTCGTGTTCGTAACTGCTGTGGCAATGTTAGCAAATCAAAAGATCACATAGAAAAAAAGGCAATGTTCACTGTGTTGTGTTGATTGCTCAAAGCCAGGATTGTGGAGCTTTCAAACGTGCATCTAGCGGCAACAGCTCATGCCCCTTCTCCCCCCGTTTGTGAGTTTTATTCTCACTGTAATTGGTTAGGAAAATTGCTCAAAAAAGTTTTTTATGACTGAATAATACCAGCCTCTTCTTGTTGAGGAGGAATTTGCACTGTAAATTGCACAGCTAA